AAAGCTATTTTTAAATCCACTAAAAATAAGATCTCTATAATAAATAACCAAAAGTAACAATTATTTTATAACACTTGGGGATCTGCAGAAAAATGGAAAAAGTGCAGGACATGAAGAAAGAACATTGTAAGTTCATTCCTGGCTTTATCACTTCCTGGATACTTGACTTTGGCTGATCTCTGAAGTTCTATAACTACTAGTTATTACAGTTTTATTCATTTTCAATCCTCACAATATAGATGAGGGTGAATAACAACTAACTTGCTATGCTGCTGTGAGAATCAATGAAATACACAAAAAAGGATCTTAAACTATAAACTGTGATATAACTTATTACAATTAAAAAAGGCAAAATTCTCTTTAATAATCCATTTGTATTCTGAGTACTATATCCCCAGTTTTACTTCTACTAGCCTTAATATTATTTGTTTACAAAACCTCACTTTCACAGAAAGGCACTCTCAATTTTAGGCTCTTTTAAAATATAGCTACACAAGTAACTTTGGGGCAGAAAAAGGCAAGTTAGCCACATGGATCTTAGTTACTTCACAGACTGGATTCTAGGTAATATCGTACAAATTATCAGTGTAGCTAGATGAATGTGGGTCTATTTGTGATCTGGTTGTAACTTCTTGTTTGCTGTGTTAAACGTACTGTCAATGCATCCATTAACTAACATTGTAATGGTAGCTGACCTGCATATCTGACTGGTTTGCAAAAGCTTTATTCGTGAAACCCTTGAATCAAAAACTCTGCTTCCTTTAGGCCTCTGATGTATTGTATTTACTCTAGAATGTTTGACTATAAGTTCAACTACACCTTGAATAACCTATTCTATCTAAATATTCTATCTAAAATTATTTAAACTATAGAAGGCCCATTAATTAGTGTATTAGTGGCAGGACATGTAATATCCAATGGCTGCAGAAAAACTAAGCAGGATTAATGAAAACTACCTTTTCTGTGGCTTTTCTTTGAGCTGTCATGTATGGATACTCCAGGCACAATGCACACACTATCTCATTTAAACCATCCTAACCACCAGCAAGCAGGTATTAATCAATTTTACAAACTAGCCTGTCTCATTTCTAGCTAGAACTCTTACAAGTCTACTCGATTTCACTATCAAATTAGCCTAACTCCACTCGAATGCCAAAAAACTCGCTTTATTAACAAATATCCATGCCTACAGTAGCATGCCTAAATTTTACTAACTTTCAATATCATTTCAATTACTCTCTCTTTCACCTGAGGCTATCAGTCCGCTTAATAATGAAAGTTTTTGTTTTCTTTTTAAAGTATCAGAGTAGAAATGAGTCAAGAAAAAAAACAACAACTTTGCAAGAGAGATAGCAGGTACAGAAATTCAACTGCCTCTGCCTCCTCTGGCTAACGTCACAATAACAACATTTAATAATAGCATTAGTTTTTGAAACGTGTCCCAGTGGCAACTGGATAGTCTTGCTGTACATCTCCTTGCAAATTCAAAACTCGGGGAACTTTGACAGTTCCCGGTTCTTAATCCAAAACTCAAGTCCAAACTTGAGCAAACAACTTACGTCATATAACAATGTTAAGTTTTCCTCGGTGTCTGATTCCAAAAGTTTAGGCTCGCTCTTTGCTCTTTGGGGAGGGCTCAAGGATCAGAGTCTAATGACAGCCACAGGCCTTAGGTGAAGTAGCCCACAGCCCCTGGAAAAGGTGCGAGTAAACGGGAGAGCAGGAGAGAAACGCAAGGTGTCTAAGGTTTGACGAGCAGCCGGCCCCTAGGCCTGTGCTCCGGACGGGATGCCTGGAGAATTGCCTTTGCTATTAGGCAACTGCTGGCGTGAGACAGAATGGAGCTGGAGCTGGGGACAGGGCGGGAGCCCGGAGCGGGGACCCGGGGAAGGGCGTGAATCCGGGGCTGAGCGCCGGCAGCGGTGACCGGAGCTCTGAGAGGGCCGCGGGGACAAGGGGAGAGCCGGGTCGCACCTGAACACGCGGGGCTGCTCCAGTCCAAGTCCGTGGACGAGCTCCGGAGGCACCCCACGGCCCGACAGGGGCAGCGGGGCGCGTCCTTGGGCCGGAGCAGCAGTTCCTTGTCGCCCGTCTCGCCAGGAGAGCCCGCGCCCTCCTCCCGGGCAGCCTCCACCAGCCTCACGGCGGTCCCCGGGGCGCCCTTCCGCGGTTCGGCCCAGGCGATCCGCGGCAGCAGCGGCTCCCGCTCCTCATCCTCCTCCTCGTCCAGGCTGCCGNCCTGCCTCAGTGCTATTCATTATTCAAGTCTCAAATTAGATGCCACTTGCTCAGCTAAGTGTTCCCTGGGCCCCTAAATCTAGGGCATGGTTAATGGAACCCTCATCTTGCCCCATCCAAGCACCCATTTCATCTGTTAGAACTGTTTTAAATGACTGACTTCTCCATTAGGCTATAAAGCATTGTGGGGACAAGGCTGGTGACCAGAGCCCATTTGAGATCTGGTCACCACTGCTTCCCCAAGGCCTCCATTTCGAATAGCACCCAGTAGGCACTCAAACATTTCATGAATAAATGCTGTATTGCTGCAATAAATAGAAAATAGAAAATAGGTGTATTCAAATTACTAGTTGAGGAATCATCTCCAACACACCGCTGCTTAATACCTTTCAAAAGCTCAGTTATAGAGGATTGTCAAGACACATCAGGGCATCTACTCTTCTAACCTTCCTCTAAATCAAGCCAGATTATCAGCATCTTGAATCTAGATCCAGCATTACTGATAGCACCACCCAGTAGAATTATTTCTGTTGAAATGGGCTTCTGGGAAATTAGATGAGTACTACCAAGTTAGTCACTTTTATTACAAAGGTATTATTCAGCAATATAGTCTCTCCAAGAGAATATGTAACAGGTTATCCTTGGTTAGTTCTGCTTTGGTTGAAATAACCAGTTTGTTTTAACTTCATGGACAGTAATTGTGTTTCTCTCAAGCTGAATGCTCAGTAATCTTAAAAATCAAATTTGTGGGCTGCGTGCATTTTGTGTACTTATTCCAGCCTGCTAACATAAATCTTATGTTATTTCATTATCCTTACTTCCCATTCTCATCTTTCCTCCTTACTTTTAAATGATTTTATTTTGTTCCTACATTTTATAAGTCACCATGAATTACCGAATGGCTTATAAATACACCTTCCTTTTACTTTGGTAGCTCTTTGAGAATTCTAACACTGTTCTCTAACTGTTAAGGCTCTCCAACAAAACTGATTTAAGTGCTCCTGGTTTGTATCAACTGGGACCTTGGTGAAGTCACTTCACCTCTCTATGCTTCCTTAAAATGAGAAAAAATAGTGCTCACTTCATAGGGTTGGTTATGATTACTATATGTGAAACGCATAGAACTATGCCCTATACGTACTGTTACATAGGTATCAGCTATAAGTCATCTTTATTGCTCACCAATTTACAGATTAAAATGACAATAGAAACAAAGAATGCTACTAATCCTTCTACTTTGACACTGACCCAACAACACTATGTTTATGCTGGTTCTAGACTTTGTCAAATGCCTTGCTAAAGTAAAGATCACAGACATGACATTCTTCCAGGGGCTAAAGTACATAAATTACATAAACAAAATAGTTATAAATGATGTTAATGTTAATCTAAAGGCAAGAATTTCTTGGAACCAGAGGTGGCTTCATGGAAACTGGATGGTAAAAGACAAAGGAAGTTAATGGACGCAGTGAAAAATAAACTTAAAAATCTAGTTACTCAGTCATAAACTTTATAAGACTGGTTTGAAAATTTCAAAATAGTTTTTACAGGGCCAGCTGAGTGGCGTGTTGGTTAGGAGTTGGCTTGGGACGCCAGCTCTGAGCAGCAGGGCCCCAGTTCAGATCCCACATGAGGGCCAGTAACGCTGCGCCCTCTACACCTAAGATGGTGAACAACAGCTCGACCTGGAGCTGGGCTGCTGTGATTCGCCGGCGACAGCGTAGGCTGCAGTGGGGCTTGCCAGCAGCTGGTGAGCCACTGTGAGTGGGCATCCAATGGCCGTTGAGTGACTGCCTCACCCGGGAAGAGTGCAATGATCATACCAACATGGGCCAGTGAAGCGACGTCCTCCACAACTAGACTGAAGAACAAAAGGACAGCAACTTGTCTATTCCCCTTCCCC